AAAAAAAAAAAAAATGGGAGGGATTCTCGCCAAAGACGTCACCGCCCGGCAATACCCGCCCATGCTCGGCAGAATCGAGCGTTTCATCATCCTAGGATCAGTCTCGGCATGAGCAGGCTCATTCTGTGCGCCGCTTCTCCGCGCTCCGCGCTCTGTGCTGTGAAGCATGTGCAAAAGCCATGTAGTGTGGCTGCGCGGGGTGCACGTGCGCTTTCAATCCTGAATAGGAATTGAGACCCGCCGGCCATCACCCTCAAGACTCGGGGCAGCGATAGCCGAAAAAGGGCCCCTTTTTTCGCTGATTTTGAGAGGGGTTTTCGTGATTTAACGCATTTTTGCCCAAAAAACACACCCACCCAGATGTGCTGCTGTGGTGGTGCTGTGGTGGGGCTGCACCCTTCCAGCCGCCAGCCGCTCGCTTGTCAGGCACGCGTCTGTGTCGAGGGGTTCGAGAGGAGGTGTTGTTGTGCGCTCGCTGGCTAGCCGTCTTGAGCAACACCACCATCCCTTTGGGCCGCAGCACCATGCCACGTCCACACTCGATCCGCTCATTGCATATGCCGCCGCCGCATCGCACGCACGATGCCAGCGGCCAGCCCTTCCCCGCCGCACCGCCCTCGCCCTCGCTCTCCACCACCACCCGCGCCTCGCTCGACTTTCCGTCGCGACCGGCGGTGCTCATCACGCGCGCGGACCTGCGCACTTCGCTAGCAGCGTACGAGGCGCTGCTCGCATCCGCCAAGGCGTACACATCGTCCATGCTCGCCATGGCCAAGGCATCGTCCGACCTGGCGTGTGCGCTCGAGACGTGCGCGCGCGTCAAGGGTGCCCACGACTCGGGGCCCGCGCTCCAGGCGGCGAGCGGACTGCACTTTCTCAAGAGCAACTACGAACAGGTGCTGTGCGACACCTTCTGGAAGGACTTCTCCATCCCGTTGCTCAGCCACTACGACACCTACCGCTCCGCATGCACCGAGCGCCAGGTGGTGCACGACAAGGCGGTCTCCGAAAAATCCAAGCAGCTCAAGGAGGCCGAGGCGCGCAACAACCGCGCCGGCCGCAAGAAGGAGCGCGACCTCAACTCGTTCCGCCGCGCGCTCGCCGAGCTCCAGTCGCACGTCGACGCCATCGACGATCTCAAGGCGCAGTACTACAACGAGGTGCTCGACGCAGAGCACGAGGTGTGGCAGTTTATCGAATCCAAGGTGGCGCTCATCGTGAGGTCGCAGATCGAAATCTCGGAGAGGATCAGCTCCAAGGGGCTCAACGATCCCGTGCTCGAGCAGATGCTCGCCACCATCCCGGATCCCTTTGGCAGCTACGGCCCTCCCAAGCACGACGGCGAGATCTTTAGCATCCTCCATCCCATCTCGCTGCTCAGCTCCGGTGCCAACAGCATCCACAACACCAGCACCGAAGCACCCACCAACGAGACCAGCGTCACCGACGCAGAGCCCACGTCCGAAGACGCCAAGCCGTCCACTGCCTCGGCGTCGCATGCGAGTGCGAGTGCGAGTGCGACGAGTGTGCTGCCTCCCAACATCATGTCACCCTCGACGCCCAGCAAGGGGCTGTCGAGAGCGAGCTTTGCGGGCCACAAGAACGCCTCGGCGGCTGCAACGCCCACACGCGCTTCGGCGGGCAAAGCTACCTCGGAAGAGCTGCCGTCGTCTTCCACACCCAAGCCATTGCGTGCAGCCGAGACGCAGGCGAGTGCGGCGAGCGCAGCCACGCCCAAAGCACGCGGCGCCAACGCGAGTGGTGGCGCGAGTGGGCCGACGCATGTGGCGCGCGACTCGTTGCTCGGCCTGTCGGCGGTGTCGGAGGCGACCACGGCGATATCCACCTCGGACGGCAGCGCACACACCGCTTCGGGGGGCCTTTTCGGTTCAGAGAGCGTCGACTTTGAAGAGCTTCTGTCGCGCGAGCAGCACGGTCAGCACCATGCGGGCGCTGGTGCAGCCGACAGTGCAGACGCGCGCGATGCTGCCACACCCCATGCGCCAACGCACGACGCAGCGCAGGGCGACGACGACGAGGCCGACGCACAAGCCACTGCAGCCGGACGTCTTCGCCAGGTTCTCAGCATCATCGAGGAAGACGCCAACGGTCCCCACAGCCGTGCCGCGCGAGGTGCCCAAGCCTCTTCGCGACCCGTATCGTCCATCTACGATGCTGGACCCGACCCTTTTGCCGACCATACGCGCGAAGAGCAGACGTCCGACTCCAAGTCATCGCGAGACGATGCAGAGAAAGACGCAGCTTCGCGCCATTCCCGCACGCCATCCAAAGCGAGCATCGACTAGACTTCCTTTCACCGACTTGACGACTATAACGACCCGTGTAACGACATGCTGGACATGCAGACTAGCCAATCCGATATGATACCCCCACGATACCCCAGTGCGAGCCATTGTATGAGAAAGCGATGCAATGGGTCGAACAGTGCAAGTTATGGTGCGGACCACGTCACTGCGCGTTTTGGTGGGGCCAAATGCACGAAAACGTAAAAGTGCGTGGAACCGAACGCGCTGGCATCCACTCTCTGATTCGCTCACGAGACCCTGCACATGCACACTCCCGCAGCCATTCTCACTAAAGGCGCAAAGGTACATCCAACACAACACAATCAAAGAGCCACCGCAATGGCTTGTGGACTCTGGCGGGCCAAGAAGTGTGCATGCGTAGTGGGGATGCTGGTGTCGAGGGTCCAAGCCAGGGCCCAAAGTGAGGCAGAAGAAGGTGGAGAAGGGCGAGCGATCACTCATACAGTAGCGCGGGCCATGCCAGTCGCGCAACCACAGAGAGAGAGAGAGAAAGAGAGAGAGAGAGAAGCATAGAAGCAACGCAGAGACTGGTCGCGTGCCTTGTTGGTCGGAGGTGTTTGGGAAATGTGGAGGTGATTCTGCGGATGCGGGCCCATGCGTCTCTCGCGTCACTGGGCGCCTTGGCCTCGGTGCATCCGTCTGTGCATTGCGCCCAGACCACCGCTCTCGACCCGCGCTCAGCAGACCCGCTCATCCCCTCCCGGTGCGTATTTAACTCTGGCCCTCGCTCTTCTCTCTTCCTGTCGCACACCATCCATCCAGCCAACCCAAACATCCTTTTCTCACCGCAGCAACGCAACTACCAGCAAAAATGAAGCAGTTCCACAAGGTCGTATTCAAGCCCGACTCGCAGTCCACCGACGAGTTCATGGTGATCGTCAACGGCGACGAGTACAAGAAGTGGATCAAGGGCGACAAGACCATCCCTCTCGCCGACGTTGTTGACTCGTTCGACGTCTTCCACACCGGCACGGGCGCACAGGGAATCATGGGTCGTCCCTCCAAGCAGCTCCTCGACACGGTCTTCGAGAGCCACAAGGACGTCGATGTGGTCACCCACATCCTCGAGCGAGGCCAGCTCCAGACCGCCTCGCAAAAGGAGGCCTACTCGACAACCAACGATGCAAAGCAAGGTCAGAACACCACCTCCAAAGGATCCGGCGCCGGTTTCGGTGGCCGATAAATCTGCCCTCTCTCTCTCCTAAAGATTGCCTTCTCGATCAAGCCGCACAATTATGAAAACATCGATACCTTTTCACCAACACACAGTCGCGAAGAGAGAGAAAAAGAGAAAAGCCCATTGCATGAGGTTTGAATTGATTCGGTTTGCAGGTGTTAACGACGACGACGTCCGCCAAAGGCACGGGCGGCTTCGCGGCGGTTTCGACGCGAGGCGCGGATGTTGGCCTCCTCGAGCTTCTCGAGGTCGTCGTCGTTGAGCCGTTCGAGCAGCGGGCCAAACTCGCGCGACTCATGCCAGTCGCGCCAGATGGCTTCCAACGGTCGTGGCCCACGCGAAAGAATCTCGCGCACCGTGTACGACGCATTGTGCAGCCGCTGCGACGCACTCAGCACCGGCTCCACCGCAGGCCCAGACGGCGTCGCTGCTCCCGATCCACTCGCCACGCCATCGAGCATGTTCGAGAGGCGTGCGGATGATCGCGTGGCCGGTGCGGGTGTCGAGGCAGGCTGGATGGCCGGTGTCGAGGTTCCTTCGCGTGTCGGCGCAGCTGTAGCCGTGGCTGTGAGATGCAGTGTCTCGACATCTTCATCGTCGTCATCGTCTGCACCGGGAGCAGGAGTCGCACGCGCCTCGCCCTCTCCTGCTGCGTCGACATCCACCGATCCACGCGGCGTTGCAATCGACTCCTGCCCTTCAACGCCAGCTTTGACCTGCTCGTCTGTACTGGGCTGCACCGAAGGCTCGCGCGTATTAGCGCCACCCGTGGCATTGGCCGAAGCCACCTGCGACTGGGCCTCGGACGCACTGGTTGCGCGCTCGAGCCTCTTGCGCTGCTTGTCCACCTTCTCGGCATGCAGCTCGGCCCACGCCTGCTCGATCTCGGCCTCCTTTTCCTTGAGCACGCGTCCGCTGCCCACGAGGCCGAGCTCGAGCGCAGCGCGCTTGTGGTGGATGAGCTGCTCGCGCACGCTGTTGGCAATCAGCGCAGCCGCCTCGCCCGACAATCCGAGATCGTCGCACAGCTTGCGTGCAAACGACTCGGGCGTCAGCGGCGAACACAGATCCCACTCGAGTCGATCGCGCAGCATGTGCCGCAGGATCTGCACCTCGTAATCCACAATCACGCGCAGATCATCCTCAAAGTCGCCCAGCCCTTGGCCTGCGTCCAGCCGCTCCGCCATGCGTTTGCGCCACGCACGCTGCTCCTCATCCCGCCTCTCCAGTCCCCAATCCCACGGTCGACCCTCCTTGACCAGTTCTTCTGCCGCATCGTACTGCGCGCGCTCCCCCACAGGTAACGCCATCTGTCCCTCCTGATCGTGCAACCGCGCCGAAGCCCACACGCCGCCCGCCGCCGGCTCCATCTCGATATCCGCCACGCCCGTCGCGTCGTCGATCTGCTGGTTGATCATGTTCATGATCTGCGTGGCGTACGGCTCGACGGGGATATCCAGATCCTCGAGCAGCAGCCTCGCAAAGTGGTGCGGCGAGATGAGACGCTCGTTCATGTTCCACGTAAACGAGTCCTTGATGCGGTACTGTTCGGCCTCCAGGTCGATCTTGATGGGCACGAGGATCTCGTTGCGCCCCGCCTGGCGCGCCAGGTCGTCGTCGTTGTGGTAGACGTGGTTGGTGCGGTGGAACATGCGTTTCGCCACCACTCTCGACGCCGGTGGCGGCAGTCCGAGGTAGGCGCGCGACGACTCGTCGTCCTCGTCCTCGAGCCGACGCTTGGAGCCGCCGCGTGCGGCGTCGTCTTCGGTGCCCGTGGCGTCCTCCTCAAAGTCGTCGTCCGAGCTGCCCGCCTCGGCGTAGCGGATGAAGCCTGCCGCGGCCCTTCGACGGCCGCTGGCGCGCGCGGCGCGGTAGGGTGTGGAGCCGCCCGCGTATTCGTGTGTCGGCGTGGCGAGCGGATCGAGCGGTCGGCCCGAGGGATCGTACCATTCGGACTGCGGCATGGATTGGAGCAGGTTGGTGGTGCCTGCCTTGATGCGGGAGGGGAAGGTGCTGTACATGGCCTGCGGCACGGTGGGCGCCGAAGCCGCGGTGCCAAACGGACGCGGTGGCGCCACCGACGTGCCCGGTGCGATGGGTGCCGCACCACGACCCACGACATGCACGTTCGGGAGCGACTGCAAGCTGAGTTGCGAGATCGGGTGTGGCGCCGGCGCATCCATGGGCATGTGCTGTCGCTGATGCGCAAAGTTCTGTGACGACGGATGCGCGAATCCAGGCGCAGGCTGCGGCGTCATCGGCTGCTGAAACGTCGTGTTGGACGAGTAGCCTGCCTCGAAGCGCGACGGGGTTGCGTTGCCGTTGGCCATGGCGACAGGCGGCACGATGGCCGACGATGCCGCCGCTGCGGATGTGGACGGCGCAGGCGTAGGCGCGGGCGACTGGAGCGCCGAAGTCGATTGACGCGTGGAGCGCCGCGGACGATCCATGGCGGCTATGCAGAGTGGAGGTTGTTCTGAGTCCGGACGATGATAGCAAGGCGCAGCGCCGCTGGTGATGCCGACGGATGATGGTTAGCAGAAGCCACCGAAGCAACACGATCGCTCCCTCAATCCAACAAAGCCAAAACGCAATTCGCACAAAAACGCGTTCCGAAGAGCGTGTGGTGCCGCCGCCGCCTTCTCAATCGGCCGATCAGCAAGCCCGACCAGCAGCTCGCCCGATGTAATTTAGGCCACCCCTCCACCACGGCTAACGGCGCAATTTTCAGCTGCCCAACACCGCCGCGCTGACCTTTCTTCTCGCCTTCCACCTTTCACCGCTTCCGACACTCGCGCACATCGATGCTCGCGCCTTCCGCAAGGGCCGTGCAGCGCATTGCTCTGCGTGCTCGCTCCGTGCGGGTAGCAGCAGCATGGCCCAGCTCGGCTCCATCACGGCTCTCGCTCCGGCCATACGCAACGACACACGCCCCTGCATCCTCGTCACCCCAGCAGCGTGACCAACGAGCCAGCGAGAACGCATTCTATGGCGCTTTCCCTGCACGTACACACGTCTGTGGGGAGCTGCGTCCCGAGCATGAAGACCAGGAGGTCATCCTCACGGGCTGGATCCAGTCGTCCAGACAGGTCTCCAAGCAGCTCGCATTCTTCACAATGTTCGACCACTCCGGCTCTGTGCAGCTCAAATTGCAGCCTACCGAAGCATCCCCTGCGCTGCTCGAGTCGTTGGCCGCAGTGCCTTCACAGAGCGCCGTTCTTATCCGTGGTCGAGTGGCACTGCGCCCCGTCCAGGACTCGAAAGCGACCATGGGCACCGGTGCTGTCGAAGTCATCCCGCATAGCTTTACGCTTCTCAATCCAGCTACTCGCGACCTGCCATTTCACCCCTCCGACTCACTGCATGCCGACGGCGTTTCGACCGAGCTCCGTGCGCGTTACAGGTATCTCGACCTGCGTCGTCCCTCGCTGGCAAGCAACATCCGGCTCCGCAGTCGAATCACGCACGCCGTCCGCAACCACCTCTACGACAACGGTTTCCTGGAAATCGAGACGCCTGTCCTCCTTCGGTCTACCCCCGAGGGCGCACGCGAGTTCCTCGTGCCTACCAGGACGTCCTCTTCCGAGCCGGCGTTCTACGCTCTGCCGCAGTCGCCGCAGCAGCCCAAGCAGCTGCTCATCGCATCCGGCGTCACGGACAGGTACTTTCAGATCGCAAAGTGCTTCAGGGACGAAGACGGACGCAAGGACAGACAGCCCGAGTTCACCCAGATCGACCTCGAGATGGGCTTTGTCAGCGGCGGGCCCGAATCCGCTCCGGCGCAAGCTGCTACGCTCCTGTCTCCAGTGGATGGGGGTGTTGATCAAAGGGACGCTGGCGGCGCATGGAGGATCGGAGGTCATCAGGTGCGCGATGTGATCGAGCGTCTTGTCTCGCGCATCTGGCAGGTGGCAGGTCGAGGCGAATTGCCAACCCACTTTCCTGTCATGTCGTACTGGACTGCAATGACGCGCTATGGATCCGACAAACCCGACCTGCGCTACGATCTTGCCCTCCACGACATCTCGAGCGGCTTTGTCTCCTCTACCGATCCTGCTGTGGAGCACGAACCGCGCAGCATGAGCCTCGAGGTGCTGCCTTACCAAGTTTCGGCCTCGGGCGGGCTGTCCAAGAAAGAACTCGACACCTTGCTGGTTGGGTTCAAGGGGCGTGTGGAGAGGTTCCGCATTGCGTCGTCCGAAAACATCTACGAGCTCGCTGCGCTTTTGCTCAAAAAGAGCGCGCTCACCAGGACGTTCCTGCAGGAGCTCGACGATGTCTCGGCATCCGAGATTGATGTGGAGCATCTCGCCACGACGCTTCGAGCAGCTATTGGCGATACGAGCGATGGTGCTGTGGATGTGTTTGTATCGCTCCGCAAGGATCCTCCCGAGGGTGGGAGCACAGTGCTTGGAGATGTGCGCAAGCAGCTCGCCGGGATGCTGGAAAGAAAGGGCCTGTTGAAGTTAAATGGCGATGCGTTTGTGTGGATCACAGAGTTCCCACTCTTCACACTCGCGGACGAAGACAAGAACCAACTCGCCTCGCTCTCGTCCACCACCTCGACGACAAGGTGGCAGTCCAGCCATCATCCTTTCACCGCCCCCGTGGCGGAAGACATCCATCTCCTAACGCAAGATGCACAAGACATCGCAAAGGTTCGTGGTCAACACTACGACCTCGTCCTCAACGGCCAAGAAATCGGTGGCGGATCGGTTCGAATCCACTCGGCAAAGTTACAGCAGACTGTCTTTCAACGAGTGCTCAGGTTGGATGCTGCCGAACAGGGGAGATTTGCACACCTCATCCATGCACTCGATTGCGGAGCCCCTCCCCACGGCGGAATCGCCCTGGGCTTCGATAGACTCATGGCAATCCTCTGCAACACAGACACCATAAGAGACGTCATCGCGTTCCCAAAACAGTCGTCCGGTATCGACCCCCTCTTCGCATCCCCCGCTCCCATCGCCGATCCGGCAGATCACCAGGATAAAACTGATACCCTCCTCCAAATGTACCGCCTCGCAAAAGCATCCTCCTCAAAGTCCTAATTCATCCCCACTCTAGAATCACAATGCAAACACCAAGACCAGCAGTACAAGACGAAATGGCTTGCAATGTTGGCACGTCTAGAAATACAGTGTTGAGTCAAGAATGCGCTAGCGTGTTCGGAGAGGCAGCAGTCCATCAGATCATGTTGCGCAGCAGCACTTTGTAGCACTCCTCGTCGTACGGCTTGGCGTCCTTGACGAAGAACTGGGTGTCCGAAAACGGCCGCGCACACGCCGTGCACGTAAAGCACTCCGGATGGTACTTGCCTCCGAGCGCCGAGATGAGGTCGTCCACGATGGGCTTCTTGCACGCCTTGCACCGCGGCTTGTGCAGCGACACGTGGCACTTTTCGCAGTACGGATACCCCTTGTGCACGATGAACTCCATGCCGCCGTGCTTGATCTTGCCGTTCTCGTCCGCGGCCAACTGACCCGGATCGGAGCCGGCAGCCGAGCCCGCCACCTTGGGGTCCAGGAACGGATCGCCACAGTTGGCGCAGAAGAAGTGCAGCTCGTGATAGCACCGCTCGTTGGTCTCGCCGTCCTGGCCGGTGAGCTCGTCGTCCTGCACAGTGATGTATCGCTCGTCCACGATGGGCGTGCGGCAGTGGAAGCAGCGCTTGGAGAACAGCTCGTGGTAGTCAAAATGGCAGTACGGCAGCCCCTCGTGCTCGTAGAACGCCACGTGCTCGAGGCCCTCGGAGCAGTGCGCGCACACGAAACAGCTCGGGTGGAACGTCGTGCGAAGTGCGTGCACCACCTTGCCGGCAATCCACTTGCGACAGCCGTGGCAGCCCGCGCCGCTGCCCACCGACGACGCCGACACGCGTCCACCGTCGGCGTCCTTCTTGCCGTACGGCGTCGAGGAGGGCGAATGGCTCGTGCCAGCCCTCTGAGACTTGGCCGCAGGCTCGCCCGAGAATGATACGGAAATTGCCGGACCCCGGCTGCCGTTGCTCGTCTGGGAACGCGCATCGTCGTCATCGGTGCTGATCGAGATCATGGGTGCCGAGCCTGTGGCGCCGTCATCGCCGTCGGGTCCCGAGACTTGGATTGATGGACCGTCGAAAGCGTCGTCATCGCCGGGCAGGACGATGGTGGGCACGGCTGAAGGTGCCGTCGCGTGCTGAATCACCTTGTGGCCTGGCGTGGGCGATGCTCGCGAAACGCTGCTGCCTCGTCGGCGTCTGGGTCTTTCCGGCTCAGCCTCTGGCGCGTCGAAGCTAAAGACCGGGATGGGCACTGCGGGCTGCTCCACCTTTGCTGGAGCTGGTGAGCTGGCTGGCTGGCTGACGCTCATCTTGTTCATCGATGCGGCCAGCTCGTCCGTCGACTGGCGCTGTGCGGCGTGGTTCTGCGCGGGCGCCTGCGGCTGATTGTACTGCGCAGCCTGGTTCATGGCGTCTTGGTATCGTGCGGGCGCCGAGGTGGCGCCATGCTGAGCGTGATGAGAGTAGCCGTTTGCCGGCTGCGCGCTAGATGGGCTGGTCCTTGAGCCGACCGAGCTCGCCAGAATGGATCCGTCGCTTTGGCTCGATTGGGGTTCCCCACGTGGGTTTGATGGCGCCGTCACTTCTGCCGTGTACTGTGCTGCAGTGCGAACCGATGCGCCTGTGCCGGCTGCGGCGGGCTCGCTCTGGCTGGACGGCAGTGGGCTGCTTTGCGCCAGCGGACTTGCTGCCATCCTAGTGGGTGGCAAGGGGGGCGAAAAGGTGGTGCTCGCGAGTGCGGAGCGCAGCGGTCGTCTCTGTGGTGCTCCTCGCGCCATGAGAGCTTCTGCCGCTAGTCTGACGCTTTCAGTCCGGTTCAAGGCGGTGGGGGGAAGTCTCGACATGGTGGCTGCGTCGGGCGATCCGGGACTGCTGTTGTCTCTTTTGGCGAGATTGGAAGAAGCAAAAGTGGAAGCCGCCGAGATGGTTGCTGGCGAGCCCGGGGGCAGTCGAGGAAGATCGCGTCGCACGCTGGCACGATTGTTGAGACCGACAGTGCCCGTCGAGGGCGAGCAAGGAGCGGATGGATTGGAGGAGGTGCGCGTTGGCTGAGGCAGGGGTCTGCGAACCGATCCGACGGATGAGGTGGTGGATTGCCTGCTCAAGTCGGACGCATATGCAGCATGCGAGACGACTGGACGGGGTGCTTGAGCGCCATTGGGTACGGCGCCTGGTGTAGGGCTCATCTGTGTGGCGGGGAACGTGTGCATCTCGGG